GATTAACTTTTCAGTCTAGGAGTGGAGGTCCCTAGGAACATCAAGGGAGAAGAGCAGAGAGCGGGACCCTACCCAGAGAAGCAGGGATGCCTGAAATGGAGGCAGAGATGATGATGTGGAGCGATGGAGCACCTGGAGACTTTAGATCCAGAGAGGGAGAGCGACTGTGTGTTGAAGACCTGGGGGGTACGGGTGAAGGATTGCATGGAGGGGATTGTAACCATGGCAATGAGACGATATACGATAGTTTGAATGTAAGACTGATGTTCTCCCATGTAAACTATCACATAATTCACAATAAAACATTTTAAAAAGAATGAAGTGGATGACAAATAGAAATGGAAAAATTGACCTTTCAAGTGGAGGGCAATGACTCCACAGAGGGAAAGTGAAGAGGAAACTTGAGAAATGTTTGGCTATCACTGTGTTACTCTCAGCAAAAGAAAGACAAGATTAGTTTTGGCAGGTTTAGGCCATATTGTGATTTGCTAGATTCAGGAATTTTTATTGATTCCGGTGGGCCTGAGTGATCATTGGAAGCTTTTTTTTGTTTTTGTTTCCATTGGCGGCTTTTGAGCATGGATGTTACATGATTGAAACTCTATTTTAGGAATATTGAACTGACTGAGATTGTAGGATGACTTAGACTATGGAAAGCAGTTCAACCATTTTAGGAAATTATTACAATGATCTGTTGTTGTTGAGTGTCATTGAGTCTTTCTCCTCACAGTGACCCTGTGTGACAGGTGAAACTGCCCCATAGGGTTTTCTTGGCTGTAGTGTTTATAGATGCAGATCGTGAAGTCTTTCTCCCATGGAGTTGCTGGGTGGCTTCAAATCACCAACTTTTGTCTTTGTTCCAGAAGTGTACTTTTGAAGTGATGTTGGGGAGAAATAATGAGAATCTGAAATAGGAGAGTTACACTGAAGGTGGAAAGAAAGGAATTAAATAGTGAAGAATCCAATAAAAGATGGAAATATTGGAGGTTCAGATATGAAAACCTATACCTGATAGAGTAATGATAGACATGAGCTGTAAGCATTCTCAGAAACCATGTTATCCAATGTCACACATATTGTGGCAGAGCTGGAGTTTGTCTGCTAACAACTGGTTTAGTATGTTCCCATCACATTACATCAGAAGATAATGGGTCAAGAGCCTCAGTGGTGAATGAAATTAGTGTGAAAAATGGGGAAGGTTACTTCTCTTTGATAAACTAAAATGAAGAACTAGTTCTGGGATATTCTGCCATTTTTCTTTTTACACACCTTTTTTCCTATTCATTTTCTATCTATCCTGTACCAGAGGTTCTGTGCAAAAGAGTTAACATAGCAGGCCTGATACTGCTATCCTTAGAAAGGCCTGTTTATAGTATCAGCTTTTGACTAGTGTCTAGAAACTTGACTGGTAAACAGATCTGTACACCAACGTAAAGTTTTTCTAAACAGCTAAGAGTGGCCCACTCTACCTATACTGGTTGTATAAAGAGAATGTAGTTTTATCCTGAGTACTTTCTTTCTTTCTGGGAATCTGGAATTTTGGTATGTGTATGTGCCTACATGACTAATCCCCAATGAAACCTTGAATACTCTCTGAAATGAGTTTTACTGGTAGACAACATTTCATGTGTGTTGTCACAACTCACTGCTGCAGGAAGTGTGTCCTTAGTGACTTCACTGGAAGAGGACTCTTGGAATCTTGAACTTATTTTCCTCTGGACTTCATCCCATGCATCTTTCCCTCACTGATTTCCCTTTACATCCTTTAGTTGTAATACATTTTAGCCATGGGTTTGTATACAGATTCCTGTAAGTTCTATTAAATTGCCAAAACTTGGGGTTGTTTTGGAGACTCCTGACACAGTTCTAAACTTTATTTTCTTTTGGAGACTTTTGCTATGAAATCTGCTTTAGGATCCTAACAGTTTGGTGTTAGAGTGTATGTAGCTATCTTCCTTGATGCCCCAGAAGGCAACCTTTATACTTGTTGAATCAAGAATGAGTTGGGTAGCCTTGGATTAGTAAATTTTTATCTCTTGGTTTCTGTAAATTAAAACAATAGTATCACTAATTGGTATCTAAATTATGCATTAGCTCTAGTGTTTGGTTGACTCCATAAGCACTGACTTGCATGAACCACTATGCCTATGTGTAACATATCATGTCCTTCTACAGGCAGACCTCCAGGTGGATAAGGAGAGACACAATTTCTTTGAGTCCTCTCTTGATTATGTTTATCAGATCCAGGAAGTTCAAGAGTCCAAGAAGTTCAATATTGTGGAGCCAGTAAGTTCTATCTATTGATGAATGGTCTAAAAATACTTAACAAATACAAAGTTTATATGGAGAACTTAAGATACAAAATTGCCGTCTCAAAGAATGTGACTAACTGTCAGTGATTAATATGGAATGTCAAGAAAGTTGTTGTTGATAAGTGCTGTTGAGTGGGGTCTAACCCATAGCGACCCTGTATACAGTTTCTGAGGAGCAGCTCATGAGCTTGAACGCCTGCCTTGTGCTTCAAACCAACTTTGCAGTTCAACGCATTAACCCACAGTGCCACACCAGGACTCTGTCAAGAAAGTAGGCCTAATGAATCGTATGGCTTATGTTTCTCTTGCTTTCTCAATAATTCTTTCTTCCCTTTACCATTTTCTTGCTCTATTACTTTTTTCTTTCTTCTTGTTTTTCCCTCACTCGTTTCTTCCCTTTTATTTTCTGCCCCCTCCCCCCCCCCCCCCCCCCATAGTTACAGGGCTTAATAGGGAAGTTAACAGGTTATATAATACAGGAACAAATGCTCATGGCATAGTTGTTTCAGTCAGTTGTTGATAAATGCCTACAGGAGATACTATTCCACAGTATACCTCAGCCTGAGGGCACTCAACTCTGCCACCTTTTGTTTTACCTCTTTCTTTTTCTTTTATTTCTCTGTTGCTTTCAGACAAACTTCTAAAAGTACCATTGTATACTAGGCACTATGCTAGGAGCTCGTGTCTCTGAAATTCAATGACTTCTCATTCTACTGTCACCTTGTTGTTGTTGTTGTTAAGTGCTGTTGAGTTGATTCCGATCCATAGCGACCCTGTATAGGGTTTCCTAGGAGAAGCTGGTGAGCTTGAACCGCCAATCTTGCAGTTCAAACGGCTTTGCAGTCTGGTGCATTAACCCACAACGCCACACCAGGACTCCACTGTCACCTTAAACCTCCTTAATTTATTGCAAAAGATGATGGACTTTAATTAGACAAGTATGTTAAATTTGACAACTTTATTTTTTTATATACTGCAGAAAAGTCTGGAAAAATCTAGAGATAATGAAACAAAAATATCCAAATATAGAGAAAGTCATGGTTACAGCATATTTCATTATAATTATTGTATCTCTTTTTCTAGCTTTATGTGCATATGTACTTATATATGTGGATGTGTGTGCACATGTGTTATATTGCACATGATCATGTGTATCTATGTGCATGTGTGTCTACAGTCACATTTGTATATACCTGTGTAGGTACTTGAGCAAATAAGCATTTATATATTTATTCAACAAACATTTATTGAGTTCCCATTATGTACCAGACATAGTGCTAGACACTGGTAATTGTTGTTATTGAGTGCTGTCAAGTCAGTTCCTATTCATAGCAACCTTATGCACAACAGAACAAAAGATGGCTTGGTCCTGTGCCATCCTCTCAGTTGCTGTTACACTGGAATCCATTGTTATTGCTACTGTGCCAATCCATCTTGTCGGGGGTCTTCCTCTTTTTCACTGTCCATCCGTTTTACAAAACATGGTGTCCTTCTCCAGGAACTGGTCCCTCCTTATAATATGTGTGCAGTATGGAAGATGAAGTCTGGCCATCTTGGCTTCTAAGGAGCATTCTGGTTGTACTTCTTCCAACAGAGATTTGTTTGTTCTTCTGACAGTCAATGGTACCTTTATATTCTTCTCCAACAGCATAACTCAGGTTAATCAATTCTTCTAAGGTATTCCTTAGAAGGTATTGCTTGGTCAGGTACACATGGAAGGTATTGCTTGGTCAGGTACACTTTAGTCCTTAAACTGATGTCTTTGCTATTGAACATTTTGAAGAGCTCTTGTGCAGCAGATTTGCCTAATGCAATATGTTGTTTGATTTTATTTTTTCACTGCTGCTTACATGAGTGTTGATGGTGGATCCAAGAAAAATGAAATCTTTGAGAACTCCAACGTTTTCTCCATTTATCATGATGTTATTTATTAGACCAGTGGTGAGGATTTTTTTTTTTTTTTTTTTTTACATTAGGTACAACCTATAATGAAAGCTGTGGTCTTTGATATTCATCAGTAAGTGTTTTAAATCCTCTTCGCTTTCAGCAAGTAAGGTTCTATCATCTGCATGAGCCTTCTTCCAATTCTGATGCCACTTTCTTCCTCATATAATCCTGCTTCTTGGATTATTTGCTTAGCATTGTTGTTGTTGTTAAGTGCCATCGAGTCGGGTCCGACCCAGAGCGACCCTGTACAGGGTTTCCGAGGGTGTAAATCTTTATGGCCTCATCTTTCTCCCACGGAGCGACTGTTAGTTTCGAACCGCTGACCTTAAGGTTCGCAGCCCGATTCGTAACCACTACACTACCAGAGCTCCTTAGCATACAGATTGAATAAGTACAGTGAAAGAATACAACCATGGTGTACACCTTTCCTGATTTTACAGCATTCATGTCCCCTTATTCTGTTCAAATGACTACCTCTTGTTCTATGTACAGGATTCTCATGAACACAGTTAAGTCTTCTGGAATACTCATTCTCCGCAGTATTGTTCATAGCTTGAATGATCCATACAGTCAAAAGCCTTTGCATAATCAATAATGCACAGGTAAATATCTTTATGATATTCTTTGCTATTAGTCAAGATCTATCTGACATCAGCATTGATAACCTTTGTTCCATATCCTCATCTGAATCCGGCTTGAACCTCTGGCAGTTCCCTGTCTATGTACTATTTCAGCCATTTTTCAATTATCTTCAGTTAAATTTTACTTGTATATGATACTAATAATATTTTCCTATGATTACTGCATTCCATTGAGTCACCTCTCTTTGGAATGGGCACACAATGTATCTCCTCCAATTGGCCAGGTAAAACTGTCTTCCAGATTTCTTGGTATAGATAAGCAAGTGCCTCCACTGCTGCAATCTTTGTTGGAAGATTTCAATTTGTATTCCATCAATTCCTGGAGCCTTTTTTTTTTTTTTTTTGCCAATGCCTTCAGTGCAACTTGTACTTTTTTTTTCAATACCCAATTAAGTAGTGATCATATGCTACCTCTTGAAATGGTTGAATATCAAAATTTTTAATATACTTTCTGCATCATTTAATATTTTGCCAAAAGAATTATTTCAGTATTGCATGTCGAGGCTTGAAGTTTTTCCTCCCTTCTTTCAACTTGAGAAATGCTGAGTGTGTACTTCCTTTTTGGTTTACTAACTCTAGATCTTTGTACATTTCATTATAATATTTTGTTTTGTTCTCGAGCTGCCCTTTGAATTTTTCTGTTCGGCTCATTTACCTCATTTCTGCTGTTCATTTTAGCATCTCTATGCTGGATATCAAGTTTCAGAGTCCCTTCTGACATCCATTTTGTTCTTTTCTTTCTTGTCTTCTTAATGACATCTTGCTTTCTTCCTGTATGATGTGCTTGATGTCATCCCACAATTCTTCTGGTGTTTGGTCATTAGTGTTGAATGCATCAAATCTGTTATTGAGATTATCTCTAATAAATTTGTGTGGGATATGATCAAGGTCATATTTTGGCTATCATAGATTTGTTTTCATTTTATTCAGCTTCAGACTGAAATTACATATGAGCAATAGATGATTTGTTCCACAGTCTGTTCCTGACCTTGGTTTGGCTGATGATATGGAATGTTTCCACTGTCTCTTTCCACAGATATACTCAATTTAACTTCTGTAAATTCTGTCTGGTGAAATCCATGTATATAATTGTCTTTTTGTTGTTTAAAAAAGGTATTTGAAATGAATAAGTCATTGGTCTTGTGTTATTGTATCATGCCATCTACAGCAACATTTCTATTGCTAAGGCCATATTTTCCTACTACTGAACCTTCTCCTTTGTTTCCAGTCTTTGCATTCCAATCACCAGGAATTGTCAGTACACCTTGATTGCATGTTTAATTAGTTTCAGAGTGAGCAAATTGGCATGATTCTTTTATTTTAACTTCAATGCTTTTAGTGGTTGGTGCATAAATTTGAATAATTGTGGTTTATACTGCTCTTCCTTGTATGTGTATGGATATTTACCTATCACAAAGAGCATTATACTCCAAGATTGCTCCTGTTAAGTGCTGTCAAGTCAGTTCCGACTCATATTGACCCTTATATGGTTTCAAAGGAGTGGATGGTGAATTTGAACCACTAACCTTGTGATTCAAACCAACCTTGCAGTCTAGTGCTTTATCTCAAATTGCCAGACTAGGACTCCCATACTTCAAGAGAGATGTTGAAATGTTTGATTTTTTTTTTTTTTTAA